CTCCTCCCCAGACGTACACCTGACTCACACCCTCACTTCCTTCAGGTCTTTGCTGCAATGTCACCTCGTCAGTGAGACCCTGAGGATCCTGTATAAAAACGTACCCCAGCCCCAGCAGCCCCCCCTCCCCCACCATCTCTAGCATTTACAATCTTCTGTCCTGCTGCATAATTTGTTTTTTCCTCCCGTCCGCCTCCCGAGGTGCCGTGAGCTCCCGGAACAAGGCGTTTTCTCCCCCGGTGCAGCCCAGGCTCCTGCGGCAAAGCCAGGACAGCAAAGGCAGTCCGTCACTGTCACCGTGGGCAGTCCGAACGTAACCTCCTATGCCCTCCTCTCTCCTACATTTATTAGCCAGAATGCATCTGTAAGGAAGATCTGCCCCCCGCCAGGCACTTATTTATTAATTCAATTATTTATAGCAATTCGGACATTTATTTTATTCTACAGGTTGTAACCCAACGCTATCATTTATCTTGGTCAAGTTCTTCCAGCTTTAGCCAACGGGAGTGGCTTTGGGTTTGCGTCCTGTGCCCGTTCTACGAACCTGTATCTTTTAGTGAGTATTTCCCATTGTCTGGCAACACGAGATGCTCCAAATCCATCTCGTGTTTTCCCTGCCCCAGGCACAAAATTAATGATTTCTCCAAAGAACTCTTGTTCCTGCGTTCAGAGAAAGGTCTTAAAAGTCGACAGCGGACGCCAGGTGTGGCTGCTGCTCCCGGGGCATCAAACACACAGACCCACCTTCGCTTCCAACGTATTTGTAGGTCTCCGTCTACAAATATATCAAACCTAGAATTAATACGGGCACTTCTGCTGATTCCCACCCAGCATGAGGTTCGTTCCGGCTTCCCGCCCCCTCGGCCTGTTTGTGATTTCCCTCTCTGATCCCGAGGAACTTGGCTCCAGCATCTTCAATTTATTTCTGCATCGGTTCAGCGTTCCATCCAAGTCATGCTGAACAGCGGCCGCTCGCTCCGCCGGGCCCAGCCGGGGCCGGGCCTCTGTGTCCCGCCAACGGCGTCCAGAAACCCGTTGGCCAAAGCCGCGTAGACCGGCGCCTTTCTCCTGCCTCTGCTTGGCTCGCAGCTCAGCCGGTTTGCAGGCTCCTGTCTGCTCTCCATTCCGGGGTTCCCATCACACCCCGGCTGACTTGAATTAGTTGTGGTTTGAGGAGCGTGAAAACAGACCATGACTGTAAGTCAGAGCGAGGCGCCTCCTCGCCCCTGCGCTGTGCCACCCCCCATGGCAGCCCCCCTGGGTAACTGCCCACCTTGGTCCTCGGGGCCTAACCGGCGGGACCGGGCCTTAGAGAACCATCTGCTGGGCCCTGGGCCGAGCCCTGCGGGTGCTGACGGGACCGAGGCCTTGTCCTTGTGCTCTTGGGGCTCGTGGGACCAGGCAGTTGCAGTACAGGATGACCATGGTGATACAGGTCATCCATGGTGGGGGAGGAAGCTGGAGTGTCACGTGCCCACGTCCTCGTTCCCGAAACCCGTGACTGGCCTCATTTGGAAAAAGCAGCTTTGCAGAAATAATTAAGGGTCTCGAGATCAAGAGATCATCCTGGATTCTTCGTGGGCCCCCAATCCCATGACTGGTGTCCTAGAGCAAGGCTGAGGGACACTGGAGACAGGGGAAGACCAGACACACTGGGAGACGGCCACGTAAAGCCTGAGGCAGAGGGTGAAGTGACAGCCACAAGCCAAGGGACCCTGGGGCCACCAGGAGCTGGAAGAGGCAGGAAGGAGCCTCTCCTGGAGCTTCTGAGGGAACGCGGCCCTGTGACCCCTGGATCTCGGACTTCTGGCCTCCAGGACAGGGAGAGAATAAACGTCTGTTGTTTTAAGCAACCCATTGGTGGTCCTTGGGAACAAACATGGGGCCGACAGGGCAGTGTCTGGGGGCCGGCGGGGGCCATTAAGAAGGGCCGGTGCCACAGAATCGATTCTCGAGAGCCCCGTTTGCACCCACGGTTTGGGTTGTTAACGGGGGAGGGGCCGTGCTGGTCTGGAGGGCCCCTCCCCCCACCCAGGCAGCTGCTGGGAGGGTGGTCATCTGTCCCTGTCACCGGCGAGCAGCAGGATGGATGCCGCACCAAGGAGACACCGGGCAGCCGGACGTTCGCGCTTCCGCCAGCCGCTGTGCGTCACCCCACGCACCACCCAAGGCAGCAAATAATTCTTATTTTCCCCAATAACGGAGCAAAAACCGTTAAGTGAATCTAATCATAAAGAACGCTCCCTGGGGTGGGTGCCAGCTCTCCGAGGTGTGTCACCCACTTGGCATCACCAGGGCAAGGGGGCCCCAGGGGTGGGGGGAGAGAAGGCACAACTAGCGATGGGGAGTGGGCGGGGAACAGACACACGTGGATTTCGGCACCATCGTGACAGCCGTGAACATGGCAGCGGGGATTAGAACCAGGCCCGCAGAGGCCAAAGGAGGTCCAAAGTCACTGTCCTTCTCTGCACCAGCCCAAGGGTGGTGACCTGGGTGGGGGGCAGCCGGGAAGGACTGGACTGGACACCAGGCATGTTTGGTCCCCCTGCCAGAAGCCAGCAGGATGAGCAGGGGTGCCTGAGGTGTGCAGGGCAGGGCTCCTCAGTGGGTGGATGACGGATGGACGCAGCGTCCCTGGTCGAAGTCCCTTCTCCTTCCGCAGTGCTCCAGGTGGGGGGCATGGTGCTGGGGCCCTGGGGGCCTAACCGGGAGCTTGAGAGGAAAGGTGGGTCTGAGGGCTGCAGGCTGCCCCCTCCCACTTACCCTAGTTTGGGGCCAGGTGCTCTCTGCTGCTACGGCTCAGCCCTGCTCATGTAAAGCAAAAGCCCCCATAAATGATGCTAAAGTAGCGAGTATGGCTGTGTGCCAATAAAACTTTATTTATAAATACAAGTAGAGGGCCACATTTGGGCTGAGGGCTTCAGGCTGCCAGGCCTTGCTCTAGGAGGATGGGGTATTCAACAGATGTGCCCCTGGCCCAAGTCTCTGATAGGCCATCAATAAAACTTTATTTATAAATACAAGTAGAGGGCCAGATTTGGCCTGAGGGCTTCAGGCTGCCAGGCCTTGCCCTAGGAGGATGGGGTTGAGTACAGATGTGCCCCTGGCTCGTCTCTGATAGGCCATACCTTGAGGGGCTGGGTCCATTTAAACGTCACCTCCTTAGAAATTTCCTACGCAACAGGCCCCTGCTCCTGCCCTTCCGGGCACGTGCCGAAGATGCTCAGAAGGTCCCTGCAGTTTCTGTCCTGCACCTGCTTCCCAAACTCCGAACTCACGGAACCAACGGCTGAGTCTCCCTTTGTTCGGCCATCAGCCCGGGTCCTGGCACAGGGCAACGGAGCAGGAAATACTCACGGCCTGGATTACGAACCAGACTCCAGCGCCGAGCGCAGCGCCCAGTGCTCAGGGTGACACAGGCTCCGTTGGCGCCACATGGCTGCACATTTGGGGGTCCGGCCCGGCGTCTCGGCCCTGGCTGCAGACCACGAGGGCCTGTCCCAAATCGCCTCCCCATTTTACGACATTTGGAGAACAGAGGAGAGGGTGGGCCATCCGCAGCCATGCTGAGACCACCTGGGTTTGCCGTCCGTGCCCCATCCCCCCTCCCCGGGGCCGAGGACTGAACGTGCGCACCAAGCCCCAGGTGGGCTCAGAGGACACCGACTCATCCGGGCACGGGTGCGGAGGGCCCCTGTAGCCAGTGGGGAAGCAGTGCCGGTGCCGGTAAGACGCTGGGGGCGGCATCTCTGAAAGGGGCAGGCGGCTGCGGCTGGATGGAGACGCCGCAGAGGTCTCTGCTAGGGCGCCACGGCCCCACGCTGCCAGCTCTGCGGAGGAAAACTCGAGGCGCGGAGGGTGCCCCCAGGGGCCCCACGCTCCTCTCCCACGTCGTCGGCTGCTTGCTCCCGCCATCCTGCACGGACACCCTGGGCCCAGCCCCGGGTCCCCTCCTTACCTGTCCAGTAAACACGTCTCCAAAAGGCCCTGCTGGGTCCCCAGACCTGTGTCTTCACGCAGGGGACTATGCTCTCCCTGCCCAGGGCAATGCCATCTCTCTAGGTACTCGGCACCATCCTCTGCGCCCTGGTCCCCCACTCCCACTCTGGTCCCCGCAGTCTGCAGCCCCATGGCAGCCAGGGGACGCCTGTCAGCACCGGAGTCAGGTCCCTTCCTCCCTTGTCCACAGCACCCCAGCTCCCTCGGGGTGGGAGCCCACATCCTCCCCACGGCCCGCGAGGCCCTGCACGCCCCGCCCCTCCCCCTCTCCCCCAGGTTCACTCTTCTCTGGCCACACAGCTACTCGGGGCTCCTCGCTGGTCCTCCCACCTCAGGGCCTCTGCACTGAGGACTGTCCCCCCATTGTCCCCATGGCTCACGCTCATCTCCTTCAGGACTCCCGTGTACAGCTGGGACATCGGCAACGGCACATCCTACCACACTGTCCCGCTGCGTCCTTCGCGTCAGAGCTGGCGTCCCACGCCTTTGACTTACTGTCCGCCTCTCCCACCAGCCTCGGCTTCTCCGTGGCGGGGATCAGGCCTGCCACATCGCTGCCGCTTCCCAGTCCTTGTTGGATGAGTGACATTCACGAATGCTGGGGGCCCAGTCTCATCCCATGCCCAATGCACACCCACCCCTCCGATGTCACAGGAACCAGGCAAAGGCTAAGAGGGCCATGGGGGAGGGAGGCCACTGGCTCTGGACAAGAGAGGGGTCAAAGACAGAAGGGACTCGCTGCCACGGCCACCTCTACTGCCAGCCTGCCCCAGAGCGGGGCCCAAGGTCCATGCAGACACATGATACCTGCATCCAGCTCGGAAAGGAAGTGTCCTCTACCCTGGGGGCTGGGAGTTCAGGCCGGGGGGCAGGCCACATGCTGCCCAGCCCTGCCCGCCAGGGGGGGCCCTAGTCTGTCCCGCCCCAGTGGTCACCCCTGGTGGGGACTGAGGCCCCATCCCCCAGCACCGCTCAGAAATGAAGACACGCCGACACAGACCTGTAATTGCAGTGCTCACGAGCCTTTAATTCAGTATGAACCTAGAGGCAGGGGAATTAGGCAGAAATACAGCGCATCCTCAATCTCGGGTGGGAAAAGAACCAGGGTGGGTGGGTTTTCGTTTTTGCACAGAGACACAGATATATCTGTGGGGAAACGTGTCTCCCCTTTGCTGTGCCGCGGCCTGTCTGCACAAGTCGCCCCGTAACGCACGGGGACGCGACCCAGAGAGCCTGCCACGGGGCTGGCGACCCCTTGGACCCCCTCGTACCCTGAGGGCTGCGGGGGCGTCCGCCTGCTTTTTATTCTCTTTACAATATAAATAGCATTTCAAACTACATATAAACACAGTGACAGCACCACCAGGCGGGGGTGCTGCATGCAGAGGGAGACCCCCCCATTTCGGCTGACTCCCCTCGGAACCTCCCAGCCCTGCCCACTCTGGGCACCTGGCCCCTCCCCCCACCAAGGAAATGAAAGGTTCTCGGCTCATTTACTTTCTCTCCATTTTCCTTAAATAGTTCTCTCTGGCCTGGCAACTGTTAAAACACTCTTTTTTTTAATTTTCAAAATAATTTTTATACAAGCAAATTATGCTCCCGATCCCTCTACAGAGGCGAGCAGGGGTTGGGGATGGAGAGCGGGAAGGCTGAGTAGGGCCGCCTCCCGCCCGGGCCCGCGTGAGAGGCACCTCTCCTCCCCCCTAGATTCTACCCAGACTCTGACGAGGCGGGCCTCCCTCAAGGTGGAAGCCGTGGCGATCTCTCTCCCTCGCCCTGTCCCAGACAAATGAACCCACGCGTCAAACGTGACACAGGATGCTGCCGGCCCCTCAGGGTCCCAGGAAGGACCTGCGACACAGGGCCACAGCCAAAGCAGGGGCCCTGAGGGGGCTGGGGGCACCGGCCTCACCGAACAGGAAACGGCGGGACCTGGGTCGCCCAGCTGGCCACTCAGCTGCCTGTCCAACCCCCCGGGGGAGCCAGGCGCCCGCTTGCCCCTGAGGTCATCAGCTTGTAGGTCTCCCTTCCCCTGAGCAGGCCGACGGAGGCCTCGGTGGCACTGAGGACACTCCGTCACCTGAGGCCTTGGCTGTGGAATGGTTCTCACAGGAGAAGAAGCAAAAGATGGAACAAACCAGAAGAGAGTGTTTATTTTGCAAAGGCTCACAGACAGGAGGGAGGCGCCTAGGCCTCCGTGGCCGGCGCTCGGCCACCGAAGGGCAGTGTCAGCCTCCTCCTGTCTCTTCTCCTGTCCGGTGCAAAGAAGAAAGGCGCTGGCAGGGACCAAGGAAGTGATGCCCGCTGCCCAGACCTTCGCGAAGTCGGGGGGAGAGCGAGGGACAGGGTGGAGTGATGGACCGGCCGTCGCTGGGCGCCCTGCCCGAGGCCCCCGGCACCTCCCGGCCTCTCCACACCTGCCCGCTCACAGACGGTAAGATTTCAAAACAACAACAAACGGACGAACAAAAAAAAAAAACAAAAACAAAAAAAAAAAAAACGAGATGCTTTTGTCTTCCTCAGCATGTCAAGTCTCGTTTCTGAGAAAAAGAACGTTTCGTTTTGTTTTTAAAGCCACAAATCTAGAAAACAACTTTGGGGACTCTTTTCCTTTTGTTTTCCTTTTTTTCTTGTGTGTTTTTTTTTTTAAACAATAGGTATTTATAGAAAGAACCTCACAAAGGTGATTTATGTACAGAAGTCACAATCTCAAAGGCTGCTCGGGAGGCAGGCAACGCAGTAGCACCTTTTCGAGAAGAGCTGACGTGGTTTACGAATCTGAGTGGTGGGAGGCGCGAGCCCCGGCCGGCCCCCCAGAGCCTGCGTGGCCCTGCTCCCTGAGTCTGGGGGCCGCGTGCCGGCGTCCTGCTCGCTCCTGTCCCCGCAGAGCACGGAGGTAGCCTCTGGGGGCCAGGGAGGCAAGGACAGAATTCACAGCAAGCAAACGCCAGGGCCCGCCGCCGCCTGCCTTGCTGGGCCGAGGGGTGGCCGGGCGGCCGCTGTCCTAGAAGGGGACCCCACGCCGGCACGGGGCCTGCAGGAGGCTCTCCACGAAGGCCAGGTAGTCCGGGTTCCGCCCCGCGTCCTCGGTGGCACGCGGGGCGCCCACCCGCGGGCGCTTGGCGGCCTTCGCCTCCTCTCCGGAGAAGACACTGTCCTGCGGTGCCCCGGTGCTGAGTGACTGCGGGAGGCCAGGGAGCACACGCGTTAGCTACGACCCAGGTCTGGGTCCCCCGACGCTATGCCGAACCTCCCCCGGCTTGTGTGATGGACCTAGGGGGTGGGGTCTTGCAGGGGAGGAGGTGATGCGTGTGGCGCCCCCACGAGAGGGCTCAGCGCCCGAGGGCAGAGACCCCAGAGTGCTCGCCCACGAGTATGGCCCATGCTCGTCCGTCCCACGCTCGTGGCGGGCTGGTTTGGACCAGGAGGCAGGTCGCACCGGACGCTAGGTCTGCTGGCACCCTGATCTTGGACTTGCAGCCCCCAGAACTCTGAGAAATAACCTCTGTGGTTCACATGGCCCGGTCTGTGTTCGGTTACGGCAGCCCAAATGCACGGAAACAGGGGCTCCCCTTGGACACGTGGCTGAAGCAAACGCCCGCCTCTCTGGGGGCCAAGAACACTGCCCCTCAGCCAACGACCTTACAAGAGGGACAGCCAGTCACCGGAGACGGCCTCTCAGCACCCTATCCCTGTGCGGACCCCGATCCTGTGTGCCAGGCAGTCTCGACACGCCGGTCACGGGCCCCCTGTGAGGGCGGGTGGCGGCCGGTCTGTCCCGGTCTGTGCTGCAGACGGGTGGCTAGGGGACGGCTGTGCCACAGGGAGGGGGACGGCCTGCTCCTCTGCCTGGTAACCCGTCCTACCCAGGGGACCCGGCGTCGGAGGGCAGCTGTGCCACCCCCGCCAGCTCCTGCTTTGAGCTCCTTCACCCGGGGCCAGAGCCACCTGCTCCCCAAGATTTGCTCTTTGGATTAAACACGGGAGAAAGAAAACGGCCAGGAGGAAAGGTGGCCGCTCCTCGCCCCCGGGACCATCGTTCCCTTTGAAAGGGGAGCTGTGCACACGCGTTTCTCTGCGCGGCCAGCCCTGGTGCTCGGATGTGCTCGGGCGCAGGGCGCTCTGGGCGCTGGATGCACCGCGGTGTGCCTGGCGGGGCAGGATGGCGCGGGCTTGTCCCTTCCTCCCCAGGCTGTCACGGGTCACAGCAAACCCGACTCCGCCTGCCACGGCCCAGGCCCTGGCTTGCTCCCTGGGCACTGCCCTCAGCCACCCCCCAAAGGAGACAAGGCCACATCCCAAGGCCTTGCTTGATCACGTACCAGCCGTGACCGGACCCTCTTGGGCAGCTCCTCGTCCAGGGTGAAGATGTCGCCGCGCTTGACCGTCAGCTGGGACCCGTCCTCAAACTCCACCTGCAGAAGGGCAGTCCTCAGGGGCGGTGCCATGCACCGCGGGCTCACCCCGTCCTCGCCACGGTCCCCCACCCACGGTCACCACTGCTGGCCCGCGGAGACGGACGCCGGTCCCGGGGCGTCCCCCACCTGCTGGCTCATGTCCTCGCGCATCGAGTAAGGGCAGTGAGAGGAAACGGGATGTGGTAAAAAGCGACAGAGGGATCTGGTGGCATGAGAGGGAGCGCGGCGGCAGCTGTGGCTGCTGGGCAGCGGGCAAGTCTCCTCCTAAGACGCCACGCTGGCAAATGACCTCCCTTCTGCAGTCGTGAGAAGACACTGACAACTGCCTTGTTTAAAGAAAAAAACCAGAGACGCTACACCTGTACACTTAAAAACGGGTAGAACGGTAAATTTTATGTTATGTATATTTTGCCACACACAAAAAATCAGAAAAACAGCCCTAACGGGGAAAGTTTCAGGCAACCAGAGGCCCCGTCCCCTTAAAACGCACGGAGCCCCGACCTTCTGCGTTAGGCAGGCGGAGCTCAACCAGACCCCACTCACCTGTGGGGATCCCCCCCCACCCCCGTGTCCCCACCTGGAAGACAGGGCCCCGCCCACCTGATAGATGTGACTGGTCACAGAGGAAATGAACTTGGCCTTGTAGATGTTGCCGTCAGTCCACCGGAGTTCAACAAACTCCCCCTCGGGCGGGGGCCCCAGCCGGGCGCAGTCTCGGCTCTGTGGGGACAGAAGGCGGCGGGGTGAGGCGGAGGCCCCCAGACAGCGGCCGGCCCTCCCCAGCCACGCTGTCTGCGCTTCAGCTGTGACGAGGCTCCCGCTGCAGCAAGGGGCCAGCGGTGCGCTCGGCCCGGGCGCTGGCGGCAGCTGTGCACACACAGGACTGGGGTCTTGCGGGGCAGGGTGGCTGTACCCCCCGGGGGGGGGGCACCCTGGCTATCGGCTCACCCAGACTGACGGTACCTTCTGCTCTGTTTCTGCAGAAACAGGCAGTGCTTCCCCTGCAGGGGGCCTAGGGCCTGGACCTGTCCAGCGGGGCCACAGGGGACTCGCGTGAGGGACTGGGCCACCTCCCAGCTGCCTAGCGGCAGCCCCCACCCTACACCCGCCCACAGCTCACGGTGATGCTCTCCGGGTACAGGTTGTCGCTATAGGACCCGTCGTCAAAGTTCACTTCGTAGAAGGTCTGTGTGGTGGTGCCGATGACGCGGCACCGGTAGTAAAGCCCGTTGCGATTCTTGGTGATGACCACCTGGCCCAAGGACACCGCCCTCAGGAACTGGACCTGGGCCGAGGGAAGAGGGACGCGTGAGTGCGCGGGAGCGGGGGACAGGGCTGGGGACTCACGGTGTGGGCCCCGGGCAGTGATCAGCAGGAGCGGGGGCAGGGCTGGGGACTCACGGTGTGGGCCCCGGCCTTGTGCTTGAAGCAGGTGATGGAGACGACGTAGGGCCAGTCGTCCGGCTCCATGAGGACCCCGGCGGCGTGGGCGCAGGTCACGTGGAAGGACGTGGAGCAGTGCTCGCAGGAGCACTGGATGCAGGCGCCAACGACCCTCTTCATCCGCTTCCGGCAGTACACGCATTTCTGGGGGCACAGAGGGGAGATGTGGATCTGGCCAGTGACCACCCCGGGTACTGTGAGCCCCCCTGGACCCCCAGGATTGTCTCCTGGGAGTGACCCCCGAGACCCAGGGCTAGGAGGCACCCTGCGAAGGGCCTGGGGGGTCTGCTAGGCTAGGAATCTTGACCGCAATGGAGAGCCCCGCAAATCGCCCTGGGCTGGGTCTCCAGGCCCACAACCTCGGCCTGTGGCTCCCCCCAACCCCTAGGAACGCTTCCAGGATTCTTCTAGGCCCAGCCCCTCTGCGGAGCTGCCTGGAGCAGGCACCAAAGAACCACACACCAGAACATCGCTCGGCCACGAAGTATGGAGGCGCCGACCCTCACTGCAGCATGGACGGACCCAGTGAGAGAAGGCAGACATGGGGTCACGTAGTGTGTGAGTCCATTTATGTGAAACGTCCAGAAAAGACACGTCCATGGAGACAGGACGTGGGTGAGTGGGTGCCAAGGGCTGGGGAGGGGGATGGGGGTGACTGCTGATGGGGACGAGGCTTCTTTCTAGGGTGGTGGAAAAGTTTCAGAATCAGATAGAAGTGATAGTTGCCTAATTCTGAATATACAAAAACTGACTAAGAGGTTCGTTTTGAAACGGCAAACGTTGCCTCGGTTCTGAGTAAAGGCACTGCAGACCCGCCTCCGGGGTAAGAAGGGGCATCCGCGCGAGGCCTTTCACCCCGTGCGGGGATCCACGTGACAGGAAGGCCCCGTTGCCCAGAGCGACCTGCTCCTGTGGCGTCAGCATCCAGGGCCACCCCCCGCCCCTCCAGCTCCGCCGTCGCCAGGCCCACCACGTTCATCACTCTGAGCATTTAATAAGCGGCCTTTACCGCTCTGGAAACCGTATTCAAAAGCCAAATAAGCACAGCGGTCAAGGGCGCTGCGGGATCCGCTGAACGGATCGATGGCAATGAGAGCTCGTTACTAAACTGTCAATACCTAACTCCCCCGCCGGCCTGCGGGGCGGGCACCGACGCACGTGATCCGGACGGCGTGAGCCCTCGATCCTGGCCTCTGGGAGTAGAGGCGCGCACAGGGCCCCCGAGGCCCTTGGGAGGGTGGTCCTTTGAGACCAGCAGGGCGCATGGTCTCACACACGTCACCTGCCCCACCGCTGAGGCTCAGGAGAAAGCCGACGGCCCGGCCTGAGGCTCAGCACGATTCATTTCCCACGTGGCTGGCAGCTCATTGTTCTGAGTTTCTGCATCATGAGGAATGTGGGCCTGGTCCCCACTGTACCATTTGTCGGGATACCAGAGTGGGGCGCGTCTTGTGTATGGTTTTTCTGGGACCCATCCCAGCCTGGTAAAGGGAGGGGGCGCAAGGCTCAGGCCACCAGACAGATGGGGCCAGTCCCCACTCACCAGGACGCCCCAAACACCCGGAGCCCATGGCCAGGGAGTCCTGGGGATAGATGGATGGACCATGACCAGGAGGGACTGTCCCCAAGCCTGCGGCCTGTGTGTGACCCTGGGGAGGTGGGCTGGCAGCTGGGCAAGCGGGAGTTAACTGCCAGCTTCCTTGCACGGCCCCATTAGGCAGTACAAGCAAACCTCATGTAAAAGGATTTTTAATTCATCGTTACAAGTGCAGGTAATGAAGAGGCCGCAAGCTGGAAATGTCAGATGATCCATAAAGCGTCTGGAGGGAGGACGGAGCACGGCTGTGTGCCGCACCGCCACTCCGCCTGAATGATGAAGCCTTTTACGGCTGCAAACCCCTGCAGGCCGCCAGCCTCTTCCTGACCGCCCGTCTGCGCCTGGCTAGGCTGGCGCCGGCCGCCTGGCGGTCCATGGCCAAAGCACCCGGTCCCCCGCAGGCTCTTGCCGGTGACTGCTCAGCCCCGCCTGGTGGTGCCACAGCTGTGGGCTCCAGGTGGGCGTCTCTGTCCCTTCCCAAAGGGCCTCCTACCAGGCCACTGCCACAGCCCCATTTCTCTGCTTCCTGCCCTCGGTGGGCCTGCAGGGGCGTCAACATCCCAGCACCACCCGGGCAGCCGGGAAACCAACCATCCAGGAAAAGCGGCCAGGATGTCGTCGAGCACCCTGGCCAAGGGCCCAGCCACCTGGCCAAGGGCAACATGCCCCGTGAGAGCTGCCACTCCCACACCCGAGTGGGGATGCATCTTCAGCGGGCTGCCACAAACACACAGCCGTGATGCCACCAAGCAGGCGCTGGCGCTCAGATAGCAAGACCAGCGCCTCACGGTGAGGCCCGGTTAACGCGCGCCATGCAGGGGCCATGCGGGGCGGACGGCTGGGGCACAGAGAGGTCAGGAGTCTGTCCAGAATCACGCAGCTGGCAGGTGGCCGAGCTGGGAACAGAAGCCAGCGTTCGCTCATGGTTACACTCTGCCGTGCCGCCTTCACCCCCGAGGCTCCCCACGGGTGACTCTTCAGCGAGAGCGCCCCACCCGGGACGGCCATATGCTCTTTGGAGGGGAAGCTCAACATGCACCGAGAGGGACCAACACCTCGACAGAAAGCACACGACCTGATTTAAAAATGGGTGAAAAACCCGAACAGACATTCCTCTGAAGAAGACATACAGGTGGCCAACAGGTACAGGGAAAGGGCTCAATGGTGCGGATGACGGTCAGGGAGACGCAAGTCAAAGCCGTGATGGCTGTCACCTCAGGCAATCACCAAGACGGCGGGAGGGTGCAGGGGAGGCCACTCGCCCTCCTGCACGGCCAGGGTGTACAGCAGCGCAGGCGCTATGGGTGGTGTGGGGGTGCCTCAAAACACCCAACACAGAGCTGCCCTACAAGCTGGCAACCCCGCTTCTGGGGCTTCACCTGAAGAAATCCGAAACGCTAAGTCACAAAGGCATCGGCACCCCCATGCTCACTGCGGCGCTCTACACAGCCAGGACGCGGAGGGAACCCCGCTGTCCCGACGGGTGAATCGCTACGGAAGGCGCGGTCCATCCCCACGCGGAATGTTAGCCAGCCACGAGGAACAGGGACACCCCACCACTGTGACAGCACGGAAAGACCTGGAGGACACTGCTCAGCGCGAGAAACCAGACACAGGACAAATGCCGCAGGAGGCCACCGAGACGAGGTCCGGACGACAGACTCAGGCAAGACGAGGGCTGGGGCCAGGCACACGGCCCCCGCCACGCATGCCGACTGAGCTCCAGAGCCGTCCGCGCCACACCCACGACGAGTGACAGGGTACTGTCAACTTAACAATCTGTTCAGAGGGATGACCTCACGCTAAGAGCTTTTACCGCGAGATTTTGAGACAGGCCAGGGGGGTAACGAGGGAAGTGCAGGGCAGAAGGTGGCGACCGGCCACTGGTCCACATGCAAAGTGTGCAGAAGACATCACCGCACAGGGACTGGGGGGCCAGGAGCCCGCTGTGCCCGTAAGGGGGACCTCTGCGCCTTCTGACTTTGGTAACTTACCCCTTTGGGACCTATTCAAGAAGTATCAGCTTTGGTGCGGCTGAAATCGGTGGCATCTGGCTTCCTGGCGTGACCCTCCACCCACAGGGCAGGGCTCCAGGGGACCTACCAGCTTCCACCGCTGCTCGGGGATGGCGCTGATGTCCACAGGGTGGCGCTCCATCACATTTAGGAACCGCACTTCAGGGACTGCGATGGCACAGATCACGTGGATCCACCTGGGGAGGGTCAGGGGTCAGGGGTCGCCTCCTTGTACGGGCACTGCCCTTGTCCGCATGCTGCTGCTGGCCGGTTAGGGGTTATGGACCTCAGGGAACAGTCTGGGCGCTTGTTTGCCCCTCCCTCCCCCACCGAGATCGAGGCCCCGGGACTGACTGGGACCCCTCCACCCACCTCCGGTCGGTCGTCATCTGCAGGGCTCCTCCTCGGAGGTTGCACAGGCAGCACTCCTGCAGGGACCAGACACACACACAGTGAGTGAGGCACGGGGCAGAGCTGTCCCCACGCTGCTCCGGGGCCTGGTCCGTCCCCTGCCCACGGTCCTTACATTTCAAACTAGTGGCCACGGAAGGGTGGGGCCGGAGTGCGCCGGGCTCCACCCCCTCACTGCTGAGGTGATGAAACCGAGACCCAGGGAGGCGGGGCCCCCAGCCCAAGGTCCCCCTTCAGGATGGGCAAGCCCGGGGCCCTGGCCTGGCTCCCCACGGGGCCGGTGGCTCTCAGAGCACCACCCCTGCCGCAGGGGCGAGTTACCGCGGTCCAGGCATGGGCTGTACACCGGGAACACGTCCAGCCTTCGTTGACCAGCTCTGGGCGGATGCCGTAGCAGCCTGAATGACAGCAGAGGGGGGCATCAGCGACCGTGCCACCCGCAGCGCCAGGGCCCCCTGGAGTCCAGCCCGGCACGGAGGAAACTGCTTCCGCCGCCCGCTCCCCCTCGACCCAGGCTGCCGCCCACGCACGCGAGAAAGGGCTGGAAGCAGAGGCCGAGAGGGCGGCAAGGCCCGCCTCGCAGAAGCCCCCACCACCCGCTCAGCCCGGGCCCCTCGCTGCCGCCCCCAGGCTCTGCTGGGCTGGGACCCTGGGAAAGTGACCGAGAAGTTCTGTGACGTGCGAAGTGGGCCTCGAGGGCGCTGGAGTTTGGAGCAGCGGGGCTGGGCGGGCCGGCCAAGTGCCCGGCAAAATTGCTACCTCAGAAACCACATCAGGGCTTCTGAGTCATCAAGGTGGTTTGCTGTGGAATGTGGTCACGGTTCAGAAATGGGGAGAGGGCATGGGGAAGGGGGGTGAAGGGAGGGTCGTGTCCCAGAGCGAGGGGCTCGCCTCGCCCTGGGGTCACTGCTCAGCAGGGCTGCAGAAAGGTGGCTCTGTCCCCACAGAGGCCCCAGGGACAGCAAGGTGCCCAAGAGCCTGTCCTTGACCCTGCTCAGTCCATGGGGCACTCGGTTAAGGTCAGGGCTGGAGAGGAGGAGGTGGCTGGCTCATGGAGGAAGCGGAGGCTCCGCCTCCTTCCAGCGGCAGGTCCCTGGGAGCCACCTCTGTGCTGAGCCTCTGCCGCCCCAGCTCAGTGAATGAGGTCTCGGCCTGGCCCCCGGCCGCAGGCCCCTCCAGAGTGGCCCCCAGGAGGCTGCGCAGGAGCACGTCCCACGCCAGACCCACAGGGCCGAGCCAACAGGCTCCCAAGACAGGAGACAAAATGAACCTGGGGCAGCCCTGCGGGGACGGCGAGGGACAGAGGTCGGGGCTGCGTCCCTCCGCGGGGTGTGCGGCACGCAGAGCTCCAGGCTCCGGAACGGCCGCTCCTGGGGGCTCAGTCTCCGGTCACTGCCCTCCTCGAGCCCAGGAAAGGGGCAGATGGCCATTCTGTCTTGTGGTCACGGTCTGGGCTCCAGGGTCTGGGGGAGGGTGAGCGCTGACAGCAGAGATAAACAGGGCCCCGGACCGCTCCAGAACTTCACCTTCACCGCCAATGTTAATGAGCACCTTCTCCCTGCCCGCTGCCTCCCAGGCCCCGGAGGACACAACTGTCGGGAAGGAGGCCACTGGGAAGGCCCGCTTTGCCTGGGGGAAGGGTGGCCCATCTGCCCCTGGAGGCCAAGACCCTGCTCCATGACACTAGGTCCTGCGACAGCCCAGAGGGAAGGGCTCCCCAAACACACACACGTGGGCAGGCGGGTATCCCTGTGGCATGAGAGGGGCCGCCCCCCGCAGACCTCACAGCCCTGGGCCCATGCGCACTCTCCCCCAGCCTGGCCCACTTCGCCGCAGACCCGCACTCACTGGCGTGGACCTGCAGGCAGCACTTGGCACAGGCGATCAGCAGGCTGGTCCCGTCGTCCCCGATGTAGGAGTTGGCGGGCAGCGGCTCCGTGTTCTCGGCGCTGGAGGTGAAGCACATCTCGGGGATCAGCGGCCGTGTCTTCTGGCCGCTTTTGGAAGGCGGCGTGGAGGGGCCCTCCCCGAGCGAGGATGGGGGAGCCTCCTTCTCGGTCTGCAGGGACTGCAAAAGGGGGCACCTTTGGTGAAGAGGGCAGCGAGGAACCACCTGACATTGCTGCACCAGGCCATGAGGGGCCTTCCTTGACAATGCCCTCCGCCCACACCTGACGCAGCTTCCACCCGCAACCCCGGCCCTGGCCCGCCTCCCACCTCCCCTCCCCTGCCCTGCTCTGCTCTGCCTGCGCTGGCGCCTCCTACCGGGACACCTGACCCTGCCCCATGCTCCCAGCCTGTGCCCCAGGTACGGGGCAGGCTCAGGCCCCGTCAGCTAACATGCAGGAAGCACCAGGCACTAGGCTAGGAACAAGGGACCCGAAAGAGCAAGTGAGACCTGGCCCTGTCCTCCAGGAACTCAGCGTCCAGGGCCTGAGGGACGCAGAGGCAGGGGCGAGAGCAGAGGAGGGTGGGGGAGCGTCTCAGACCCAGGCTGGGGACAGCAGGTCTGAGAAGGCCTCCTGGAAGAGGTGGTGGATGAGGAGACTCAAAAAATGAACCAAAATCTGTCAGCAAGGTAGAGGCTGGCTGGATGGGTGGGTGGGAGAACCGGGGACATCACAGGGCAAACTGCTGCTACGTGGGAGAGGAGGTCACAGCTGAGGAAGGCCGTGGGGCGCGCAGCCAGGACCTGAGTCTCTGGCCGGGGAGCGCATGGCTGGCGTGGCCTCCCAAACGCCTGTTCTGGCCACGGTGGGGCACCAACAGGAAGAATAGGACGCAGGGGAGGAAAAGCCTGGAAGGCTGGCAGTGGCCAGGCGGGAGGAGGGGGACAGTGGCAGAAAACAAGATTAAGAGGGAGACCGGGCAGGACCTGGTGGCTGACGGCACAGGACAGGGTGCAGGGAAGGGCCAGGCTCCCCACCTGGGACCCACGGGACAGAGGCGTGCCCAGCCTGGATAGAGTCCGGCACGCTGGGCGCCCGGCTCAGTGCTGGTGTCCCAGCCAGGCCACACAGGTCTGTGCCCGGCCCCAGCCTGCCTCTGGGACTCGGCCGGTCACCAGTCACCCCTCTGGGCCCATAGGCTGTGCCATGCTGAGGAGCTTCCGGAGGGACAGTGGTCTGTGCCCTGCTACCCCTCCGTCAGATGCCATCTTTATGTCCACTGACAAGTCCCCATCAGATAAAACAAAGAAATTGGGCCTTGTCCCTCCGGCACACGCTGCACCAGGGGCTTCTGCCTGTCACGCTGTGGCCGTCCGGCCCCGCCTGTCCTACCCCCATCCTCCGGGCGCTCAGCTGATCCCACTGTGGCTCCTACAGCAAACGGGTTCTCCGTCCCTGTCACCAGCCCCAGAGCGCCCAGGTGGAGCAAACGCTGGCACCTACAGGGCCAGACAGGAGCTGCCAGGCCGCGGGGCGCCGGGGCGTGGGCTGACCTGGCTGTACGGGTAGAAGAGGGTGCAGATGGCGCAGTAGGGCTCGGTCAGGGCGGCCGCCGCGTTGAACTTCCTCTCGGCCTGGAAGCTCGCCGCCTTGTTCCTCCACTGCAGGGACAGCAGCGACCTCAAGGCCTCAGGGTCACTCACGTCCTCCTCCCCGGAGAAGGGGAAGGCTTCTAGAGCAGAGGATGGCGTGGGGACAAACGTCAGCACACCTGAGGACGCACGCCTCGCCCCGATGAGCGCTCACTGCCGCAAGCGTTCACAGCGGCAGGTCCCCACTGCCACGGCCCCCGAGCCTCGGCAAAGCGGCCACCTGGCTGCCCCAGCTCAGGGGGCCCTTGGTCCCCTCTGAGGACAGGAGGTCTGGCTCAGGCCTCGACAGGTCAGGTGCAGACTCTTGCAGCTCAGCGGAGCCAGAAGAGGAGCATGGCTAGGAGTCGGGGAGGGGGCGGTGTGACCCCAAATCCTACTGAGATAAGATGAAGGCTACACGTGGGCGTCGCATTGAACCCTCCTGTCACAGCTGGCCCCTGCTGGCCTCAGTTGCCAGCCCCACCCCCACACCTCATCGCTGCGTCTCCTCAGCACCTCAGCGTCAATGCCTGCTGAGAAGCTGGGTGCTCACTCCTGAGGCCCCGATCTTCAGAGCGGCTGGGCCAGCGTGGCAAGATACAATGGCCTTCGCAACTGTGAGGCCACCTGCAGAGGCCCCGGCTCATCTGATCCCCGAGACCCCTTCCACTCCTGGGAGCTCAGCCCTGTGGCCCATGGTGCTCCCCGAGCCCACCTCACCCTAGCCCTCAAATTCAGAATGAAAGAAGCCGTCCCCACGATTTTCAAATTCCACGTGCATCTTAAACAGAGGGCGGAAGCAGCAGATGAGAAATTGACCCTGCAGGGCTTCCGCCCACCCAGCAGCCGGCGTTAAAGACGCGCCTTGTCCCCGCCCCGCGGGCTCCGTCCCCCCGCAGCCTCCCCAAGGCCCACAGCCTGCTCAGCGGCAGGAAGTCACTTCGGTGGCGACTGGCCGCTACCAGCCCTGTTACTGGCCAGAGCCCTGTGTGTTGCTAACAACAGCCGCCTGCCGGGAGCAACGCAAAGGTTTCCTCCCCACACTCGAGGCAGCATGGAAGTTACCAGCCACGGCACAGGGACCACAGAGCCAGGACATCCACTGAAAGTGCCCCTGGAAATCAGCAAATTCTCAGGCCCTGTGCAGCTCTGCGACCCTCCAACTGAGTCCGTTTCTCAAGCCTCAATATGGGGGGTGTGGCCACAGTCTGGCCTCGCTCTCAGGGGTCACCAGAGGGGCCAACCCCGGGGGGCGCACTGGACTGGCGCGCCTTCTGCTCACGGGCCTATTCATCTGCTCTGCAAATGTTCTGGATGCCCCACCCTGTGTCTGCCATCTGAGCAGACCCAGGGGCCGTGAGAGGATGAGGCAGGATCCTCACTCAGCTAGGGGGTCAGGTTCGTATGCACAAACATGGAGGCCATGGGAGCTGAACGGAAGTGGGGGATGGGGGGTGGGGGTTGTAGCCAGTCCAGGCCTAGGTGTAGAAACCGTGTCTGCTCAGAAGCGTTTGGCAGAGATTACTGTAGACGGCGGGCCCTGAGGTCAAAGGCAAGGACAGTCACTATAGAAATGACTGTGCCTCAGCTCTGTGTGCCTTCCTGACAGGACCCCCGGAAGGGCCGGCAGCCCCCATTTTACAGCAGGAAGGTTAGATGGCCCTCGTGGTCCCAGGCTGCGGGGGGCGAGCTAAGGTTAGAGCCCAGGCGGCTACAGCCTGCCCTCGAGGGCCACGCTGGGCATTTCCGGCCCTGAGCCCAGCATGAGTGAGGCCCCCACCGTGAGAAGGAGAGCAAATGGGGCTGAGGGGAAGAGACTTGGGGCGCTCTTCTGGGGAGACCCGCAGGCTGAGCAGGGTTGCTATGGGCGTGGGGCTGTGTCTGAGGGCTGGGCAGTCTGGGGACAGACGCTGAGGGCCTGGCCTAAGCTGGTGGCGGTGGGGATGACCGGCAGGGGAGGTGGTGGAGGGAGACCTCGGGGGAGGCTCTGGGTGAGAGAACGGGGTACATAGGACCCGGGGCCCGAGCAGGTAGGGACGGCATCCCCACTCACCCTCATCACTGGAGGCCTCCTGCTTGACCACGGACAGCGGGGACCTGGTCGGTGGCTTGCCCAGAGGGTGACGCCGGCTCTTCTTGATCTCCATCTTCAACTTGGAGAACGTTGACGGTGCCTGAAACACAGGACAGGAAACGGCTTTGAAACGGGAGCGAAGCCAAGCTTGGCCCTGCCCCGGCTCCCCCAGTTGGGGGTGCGAAGCCCCAGGAAGAGGCAGCGGGGGCCACTGTGGTCTCTAACCACGTGCAACACTGCTGGCCTTGGTGATGAGCCACAGGGCCCTTTTGTGAGACGGCACATAGGGACAGGCAGAATCCCCAGCCCGGGACCGTCACAGGTGCCCTACCTGCACCTCGCCGGCTGCTCTCTCCTCCTCGGGCCCTGTCAGCTCCATGGGGGCTGCCACCTGCTCCTTCCAGGTGGGGCCCTTCTGGGCGAAGTGCTCAGAGGCCTGCTGGCAGGCCACGCGGCCCTTGTCGCACGTGGCTGGGCTGGCCCGTGGCACCACGAACAGCATGGGGATGATGGGGCGTGGCTTCAGCTCTGGCTCCTCCCCGGGTGCCTGGGGGGGCACGACGTTGAGGGGAGGCGGCGACAGGGTGCTCTCCTCGGTGGCCGCAGGGCCGGGGTTCAGCCCCGGGGGCCCCTGTGGGGGTGGTGGCACCTCCTCGGTGGGGAACTGGGTCGGTGGGGGTGGTGGCCGCTGGGGCAGAAGCGGGTGGTGAGAGTGCAGGGGGCTGTGGCTCTTCTTCTTCCGGTCACTCTTGGCCTTGACCGGCCGCAGCTTGCCCCGCCCATCCTCTGCGGGCAGAGAGGGGAGACCAGTCAGGGCGAGGCCAGCAGCCACACACCCTCCTGCGAGCCCCCTGCCCAGGCAGGAGCTGGCTGGAGGTGGCAGAAATCGCACTGGCCTTCCCCAAGAGAGCACGGGCGTGGGGCAAGCCCGAGCCTTGGGGCGCCCCCGCCCCCGCCCTCCAGGGTCTGCAGGTGCTCAGAGCACCTTCTGGAATTGGGGTGAGGTGGAAGGAAGAGGCGCTTTCTTCCCAAGGGCGGAGAGAAGCAAGATTCGTTTGTTTTCAGATTTCTGAGTTCTGTATGTTTCTATAATGAACACACACGATGACTTGTAGAACTTTCTAATAGCAAAGACTCAAACAAGAAATCATAAACGAATGGTCACTTGAGAGGGCCTGAAGGGCCCAGAACAACCTTCCGCCCCCACGGGCTGGCACGGGGGGACTTCCTGACAGGTGACGAGGCGGGGTGGAAGTCCAGCGGGGCGTGCCTTCAGTGGCACTAAGGGGGCTGGGGGTGGGGAGAGGCGTGGTTGGCAGAGTCACAGCCCCCGGATGTCCAATCCTAGCTCTGGGACTTGGGAGCGTGGAACCGGACAGGGCAACGTGACTTTGCAGATGGACTGGGCTCAGGGAGGCAGATGGTCCGGGGGGACCCAAGGTACCAACAGGGGCACTTAAGAGCAGAGGACCTTTCCCAGCTGTGGTCAGAGGACGCTGTGAACATGGAAGGAGGCTCAGAGAGATGCCGACGAGATGCTGACGACGGAGGATGGGGCTACGAGTCAGCGGCGGGGCGGGGCGCCTCCGGAAGCTGGAGGCGGTTCTCCCGGGAGCCTCCCGAAGGACTAACTCTCCCCACACCTGAGTTTAGCCCCATGAGACCCCTCAGGGTTCTGACCTCCAGAACTGAAAGCAAATCAATGTGTGTGGTCACTGACAGGCAGCCCCAGGAGACTGCAGGTGGTGACCTGTGTGAGACCTGCTGTGCTCAGGGTACGGAGAGCTCAGCATCAGGGACCCTGCACTCAAGGACGACAGACCACAAGGCCCAGAGCACAGCCAGCCCTGGTGTCCCCGGCCTTGCCTGACCTGTCTGGAGAGTGGGCACACTAGCCTAGGCCTTCACCCTCCCGGCCCAGGCTCCCAGGGGACTAACCATTCCGGTCGTCTGGGACCAACGGTTTTTTGGACAACCTGGGATGAGTGGTTGTCCCGGTGACAGGACCCGTGAGGCCCAGCGGTAACTGTGCCTGACAGTCTGTGGCTGGGAGCACAGGACACATGGGGGGCGAGGACCTGCCCCTGTCCCTGGCAACCGGTGGTGACAGGGAGCACGAGGAGTTCTGGCTCGCGCTGCGGTGCCCGCGTTCCACCCCCTGCTGTAAAACCCGTCTACACGGCGCCCCCGATCCCCAGCCAAAGGCGATGGAACGAGTGCCCGTGACCTTGGGTGAGGGCGTGTCACTTAGACCCTGGTCTGCACTGACCCCAGGAAGGGATCAAACAAGGGCCTCCCTGCCAGCAGACACCCAGCTCGGAGTGCTGGCAGGAGCTGAGTCGCCCTGCTCATCCGCACGAAGGCCAGGCCTGAGCCCACGTCGTGGCCCCCAGCCCCCTCTGTCCCCACTCCGGCCCCCCGCATGCTGCAGCCCTGTAGTGGCTGCTGGGACAGCCCACGGTGTCCCTGGCAAGCACACCCTGTGTTCTCCAGGAGAGGCTCCATCAGCTAGGAGGCAAAGGGAGCACTCACCCCTCAACCCCCACCCTCAGGTCCTGAGCCCTAAGAGGGCACCGAGGGTTCCTGCAGCACCTCTGCCCTAGCTAGAGGGGACCTGACCACTCCTGGGTCCACCCTCCCACAGGCCCCTTGTGAAGCTGGCTATCTGCCAAGAAAGGAAAATAACAGATTCTCCCTCCTGTTAGGACACAGGTGGATGGCTCCCTGAAACAGGATCTCTTCTCCATGTGAAGACGTGGAA